ATTCCTTAAAGCTTAAATGTAAAAGGGAAGGTTAATTTAATGCTGGTTTCTATATAATGCAGTAGAGTCAGGCCTGTTTCTTTTTAGCACTCTCAATTATTTAATGCTTGATTTATCATTTTACTTACACTTTCTTTCTTTTTTTTTGTGGGGGGCTGTCTTTTTGAGACAGGGTCTCCCGGTACCTCCAGCTGTCCTGGAACTCGCTATGTAGACCAGGCTGGCCTTGAACTCACAGAGATCTGCCTGCCTCTGCCTCCTGAGTGCTAGTATTAAAGGTGTGTGCTTACCATGCCCAGCTTCATTCATTTTTTTTAAGAGTTAATTAAACCCAGTACTGGGCATGGTGGCACATGCCTATAATCCTAGCCCTTGGGAGGTAGGGGCAGGAGGGGCAGGGCCAACCTCAGCTACATGGCGAGTTTGAGGGCAACTTGGGCTACACAAGACCCTGTCTTTAAAAAAAAAAAGCTACTCATACCCAATCTTTATATTACTCTTCCAATCTTTATATTACTCTTTCAGCTCTCTGAAGGGTTTCTGTTCTTTGTTGTCTTGCTAATTCAAAGTGACCACTTTAAACAGCGTATCATGACCTGTACAGCCTCAAACCCCACATTTTGCTTTTCAGGAAATGGCCTGTCAAGTTATTCTTTGTTCCCCATCACACATACACACTCATGGTCACACACTGTGCACATACAAGTAGTGCATGTGGGCAAGTACACATACAAACATGCGCTTGCACATAGGTGTACAGACGTATACACAAATCACAGAGTAACATACATATGATATACAACCTTACACTTCTGTTTGCTTGAGCAGTTCTCCATGGAATTTTTTCATGCTTTGCTTTTATCTGTGACTCCCTGGCAGAGTATATCCAACTCTGATTGTCAATAGTGTCAAAGGTGGGATGAACCAAATGACATAGCTTTGAGTATAATTAGAACAACACGAACTGTTAGAGAAAGAACAGAAATTGTTAAACTTCTTTCAGAAGCATTAAAGCACCCTGAAAGTTTTTCAAAAACCCAAGAGAGGTACATGAAATTTCTTTTAATTGAAAGGTTATTATATGGAGAGATGACTCCTCAGTTAAGAGCACTGGCTGCTCTTGCAGAAGACCTGGGTTGGATTCCCAGCACCCACATAGCAGCTAACAACCATCTATAACTCCAGTTCCAGGGGAATCCAGCACCCTCTTCTGACCTCCATGGGCATTGCATGTACGGGTGCACTTACATACATGTGGGCAATATACTCATACACATAAAATAAAAATAATTAAAAAACCTTAAAAAAAGATGTGTGGACTGGGACTGCAGCTCAGTTGAAGGTCAGGTACATGCTTAGTAAATGTGAACCCTGGCTTTGCCTCCCAAAATCAAAATAAGTAAATCAACAAAATTAAAGATACAGAAATTTGCAGTTGCTGTATCCATTTGTATGATACATTGTTCATCATGTAAAAATATATTAGCTTTATCCCCAGTCTGCAAAAAAGCCTCAGAGTCCTGAACCAAGCTCATTACTTCTACTATAGTATTTGTGTACAGAAATGTTACCTTAGGGCTTGGTGTGGTGGCACATGCCTTTAATCCCAGAACTTGGGAGGCAGAGGTAGGAGGGGATCTCTGTGAGATCTAGGTCAGCCTGGTGTACCTAGCAAGTTCCAGGGCAGCTAGGGCTAACAGGGAGACCTGGTCTCAAATAAAACAAGACAAAACTAAAAATGTTACCTCACCATGTGAAATGTTGACATTACATTCAAATGCAGAGACTTTGTGGTAAGAGACTTAGAGTTCAAATCTTGATTCTAACTCATTACACAGAATCTTTGCGGGGGTTGTTTTATTTTGAGACAAGGTCTCCATATGTAGCTCAGGCTGGCCTAGAACTCTAAATCATTCTGCCTCCACTTCCTGAGTGCTGGGACAGGTTTGGGACAGCATGCCAGCTTTTTTTTTTTTTTCTTTTCCTGCAGTGCTGGAGATCAAACTCAGGGCCTTGTACATGTTAGACAAGCACTCTATTAACTGGGCTACATCCCCAGTCCCTATGTTTGATAATAAGTAAATATGTTAATAATACAAAGCTTCATGCCTTAGAGTCACTGAGACAGGTAAATTAAATGAGGGAAATAAAATAAACATTGAAATGGATCTTGTTAGGAAATCTGCCTCAGCTCAGTTGTTAACCCTGTACTGTCTGCCTGTGCTGGCTGGAGAATCACATAGACTGGATTCCAAGTTACCACTACTTTAAAATAGTCTCAATTTTTTGTTCTAAAATAGAGCTACCGTACCTAGGAGAACTTTGCTTAGGAATCTCCAAGGATGGGGATGGAGAGATGGCTCAGTGGTTAAGAGTACTTATTGTGCTTGCAGAGGACCCGGGTTCAGTTTCCAACACCCACATTGGGCAGCTCGCAACCATCTGTAACTCCAGCTCCTGGCGATCCAACACCCCTTTCTGGCCCCCTTGAGTACCAGGCACACATGTGGTACATGTACATAAGTGCAGGCAAAACACTCATACACATTAAAAAAGAAATCTGAGGATCATGAACCTGCTCTTATAATCTGGGGACTATTATATAGAAGTTTCGATCCCCAGTGATCCATTTACTTCAGAAATATATGTCCTACAGCACTAATTTGACTTGGTGGGTTACTTAAAAAAAAAAAGAAGATACGAAGGTAGGGGTGGCACAAGTTGTCTAGGGGGAGGGAAGTTGGGGGTTGGATATCATGAGGATACATTGTATATGTGAAAAAAGTGATCAATAAACAAATTTAAAAATTGAAGAGACTAGAAATGGCTGCCCTAGCATTTACCCTGTGTATTGGGTTCATGCTGAAGGTTTTGTTTTTTAACGGTATGCGTTATTAATGAGTGTAACTCTGTCACGCGGCTTCTTTTCCTTCCACTGCATTGCTTTAAAGGTTCTACTTCCCAGAGCCTTCTATAAGTTGATGTGCTTGCTGGCTGCCTAAAAAGTGGACGGAGCCCTTCCTGAGGAGCATCTCTGGAGGGACGCTTCGGCAGAAGGAACACACTCCAAAGTGCTGCAACCTGCCTGATTCCAACCACCTGGTCTGTTGCTAGCAGTCGCTACAAGTATGACTTCCTATTGTCCAAAGGATTTCTGCCAGATGACTAAAGGAGAAACTTCCAGGTGGTGAGAGCTGCAGAAGGAAGTGACTCCTCCTGGGAGGGCCTCCTTCACTGCTAGCCCACGAACACCATATACTTATTATTATGAACAAAAATGTGTACTCTTCTCACGTGCGAGGCATCATCCTAAACAGCCCATGGAACTTATCAGATTCACTATTTCTTTTTTTTTTTTTTGAGACAGGGTCTCCCTGTAGCCCCAGCTGACCTGGAACTTGCTATGTAGACCAGGCTGGCTTTGAACTCAAGAGATCCATCTGCCTCTGCCTCCCAAGCTCTGGGATTAAAGGCATGAGCCACCACACCTGGCCTGATTCACTATTTTTTTTTAATTTTATCTTTTTAATTTTATGTGTATTCGTGTATCGCCTGATGTAGGTAAGTGCACCCGTGTCGTGCAATGCCCGCGGAGGTCAGAAGAGGCTGTCAGATCCCCTGGGATTGGAGTTATGGACCGTTGTTAGCTGCCATGTGGGTGCTGGGATTCGAACCCGAGCGTTGTTAGCTGCCATGTGGGTGCTGGGATTCGAACCCGGGTCTTCTGCAACAATAACCAGTGTTCTTAACTGCTGAGCCATCTCTCTAGCCCCACTGATTCACTATTTCTAACACAGCTATGTGGTAGATACCATTATTCTTTTATTTTTAAATTATGTGTATATATGTGTGTCTGTGTACAAATGAGTGCAGGTGCCTGCAGAGTCCAGAAAAGGTGCTTACTCCCTTGGATCTGGAGGCAGTTGTGAGCTGCTGGACATAGGTGCTGGGAACCAAACATGGCTTCTCTGCAAGAGTTGTAAGAGCTCTTAATTGCTGATTCTTCTCTCCAGCCTGGTATTATTCCTTCCTTCCTTCCTTCCTTCCTTCCTTCCTTCCTTCCTTCCTCCCTCTCTCCCTCTCCCTTCATTTCCTCTCCCCCTCCCCTTTTCTTTTTTTCTGTGGCAGGTAATGACAAAGCACAACGATGCACCAGGAGCTGGAGATATGGACGCTGGTCACAGGGAAGTTCAGGGCAGTGCTTAGTGCATTTGAATACTTCAACATGTGGTAGCTGCATTTCAGGGCGAGCAGGGCAAGTCTCAGGAGCAGAGAGGAGAGTGACTGCAACCATTTTTTTTGTTAATTTTGAGGCAGTATCTTTTGTACCCAGGTTGGCTTCAAACTTATTATGCAGCCAAGGTTGACTATGGACTCTTGAGCCTCCTGCCCCTGCCTCCTGAGTGCTGAGATTACAAGCATGCATCACCATGCCTAGATCATTTTATTTACTTAATTTAAAGGGGGAACAGGGTCTTGTCCTGACTTCTAGACTTCAGGCCTGCACTACCTCACCCAGATTTTAATTAAATTTTTTTAATTTACTTATTTGTATTTTTTTATGTATATGAGAATTTTGCCTGCATGTATGTAAGTGCACTCATGTGTGCAATGCCTGAGGAGGCCAGAAGAGAGTATAGGATCCCCTGGAACTGGAGTTACAGGTGGTTGTTAGCTACTATGTGAGTGCTGGGAGCCAAACCCAGGTCCTCTGTAAGAGCAGTCAGTGCTCTTAACCACTGAGCAATCTCTCCAGCCTCATTACCCAGCTTTTATTATTCTTTTTGAGATAGGGTCTTATTATGTAGCTGTTTTAGTTTGCTTTCAATTGCTGTGACAAAACACTCTGACCAATACCAACTTGGTGAGGAAAGGGGTTTATTTGGCATACATCTCCTGGGCCACAGTTTATCAGTGGGGGAGCCAAAGTTTCAGGGCAGCAACCTGGAGGAAGGAGTTGAAGCACAGGCCATGGAGGAACACTGCTTACAGGCTTAATCCCCTGGCTTGTGCTCAACCTGCTTTCTTCTATAATACAAGACAACCTGCCCAGGGGTGGCACTACCCACAGTGGGCTGGGCCCTCCCACATTACTCAATATTTACAAAAATGCCCTTCAGACCTGGCCGCAGGCCAGTACAATGGAGGCAATTCCCCGGTTGAGGCTCCCTCTGCCCAGATGTGTCAAGTTGACAACTAAGCCCAGACTGGCCTTGAACTTGTGACCCTCCTGCCCAATGACGCATCTACTGGTCTGTGCTAACAGTTTTGGCTATTTCACTGTTGTCAAGATTCACCTGGAACTGTGGACTCAAGCCATCCTCTTGCCTCCCACCTCAGCCTTGCTGTAACTAGAGGTGTGTACTACACTGCATTCAGCTCCATTATTCTTATTTTGCAAAGAAAAAGCTGAGAGGCAAAGAAGGTTAGTGATTGACTCGAGGTACACCTGCATCACTTGGTAGGTCTGGATTTGAAATCAAATCTGTGACATCGAAGCTCCCAGTCACAAACAATGAAAGAACAAGCAAGAATGAGGGCAGAAATGTATTTTAGAGACAGTTGGATGTTTCTCTACCCTTGTGTGGCTCTAACTGCCTGAACTTAAAGTCAGGCTGGCCCAAAGTATGTAGCCCAGAGGGACAATGTTAATTTCTCATTACCTTACAGGGGTTATCTGATGAGGACAGCTTCATATTTGATTGTTTTCTGGATGCCAAGCACTGATAAAATACTTCAGAACTATTAACCTCATTTAACTCTCTGGAGTTCAGAGTTGTGAGGCAGGTATTTTAATGACCCCACTTGACAGAATGGAGTAGGTTCAGAGATGTCACTTTCCTTGCTCATGCAAGCAACAGAGCAGGAAAATGGTTTCACATCACAACTGTGCTTCCAACCAGATAATTCCTGAGTTCAGGCCACATTCTTAGCTATGTCTGCCTATCTAGTCCCCTACAAATG